AAGGAAAAATAACTGGGTGTATCCAGATAATAGACCATCACTCAGCTAAGCATGACACAGGCTATCAAACACAGCAAAGTACCTTGGACGCATATTGCTGAGTCATAGAAGCCAATATGAAAAAGGTCATACTGTATGACCTCACTTGTGGGGCATTCTGGAAATGGCAAACTATACAAAGAAAATCACTGCTTACCAGGGGTTAGGAGGGCTGACAACAGAGGCAGCTGGATATATGGGAGGAAAGTGTTTATAGGAAAATACTCAACACTCCCCATCAATTTTCTGGTGAATTTAAAAGTCCTCCAAGAAACAGTCAATTAAAACATCTTGTGTAAACTAAATCAACTTCTATCTTTTAAAAATGTGTTATCAGTAGACAAAATGGGAACTATGCTCATTGTTCATATAAAGGAACTAGGAAATAGAAAAAATAGAATGCTATCGCTAGGAGAGCAGTGCTCTTCATCTCTGAAGAAAACTTCACAATCAAGGATAATGCTAACTTGTACATCTCCCATTCGAAGCTCTTACAGGTGACCTCATTCTCTTTACATATTTCATTAACTCTATCTATGAGATACACAAGTAATTAAATGCCATTCAGTTAAATCAAGGCAAAAAAACGGAGGCTTAGGGGCCGACCCGAGTGCACGCGTACTAAATTGTTTTAGCATCTCCAAGGTGGAGCCAGACGGCAGCTCAGATGCTCCAGGGACCATCTCCCCACAGCGACAGCTTTACGGAGCTACAGAAGCCAGCGGAGGGACACCTGCACCTGGTTCACCATGATAACAACAGAAGATGTACTAAGGAAATCAGGAAGAGCCACCTGTGCCTCCTCGCCCACAGCTTCAGGAAGAAGGCGCCTCATGGACAGCGAGGCTCCCATGTGCAAGACACAGAAGGATTTACGTCTGGTCCTTCCACTTACCTGCTCGTGCCAGAGCTTCTACCACACGGACTCCCAGCTCCTGACCCTAGGCCTGGAACTGCAGACTAAGTGCTTGGACCCTCATCAGCCAGGGAGCCAAGGATGGCCTCTGGCACCCTTCTCCCGATTTTCCGCAGAAAGCAGAGCAAGGTTGCTGTCACCGGGCCGAGGGGCAGAAGGAATGGGGGATGTTGGACTGCACTCAGAGCCAGCCCACTGCCACGAGCCAGCAGAGACAAAACCCAAAGGCTGCTACCCCCAGTCCAGCGCTTGCAGAACAGACTCTAGACCTGCCCTGGCAGGAGGACTCACTTCAGTGGGCTTCACAGCCAGCCTGCAGTGGGCCTGAGGTGCAACTCTGCGACTCTGCAGGGCCCAATGGCAGTGACACTGTAAACCAGCTTAGTAACAGCCTGGGTGGCCACAGGGATAAAGGCATCAACCTTGGGCAGACAGCAAGGAATCACAGGACTGCGGGCTGGACTCTGTCAGGCTGGAAACATGCAGCATGGGAACCTCCCAACAGTCCCTGTCCCTGTGCCGGGCGGGCCTGAGACAGAGCCTGGGACTTGCTCCAGTACCAGAGCAGACCGCACCCTGCTGCGACAGACCTGCTTCAGTGTGTGTTCCTGCCAGTCCCGAGCACCTGGCCTGCACCCACAAGACTGCACAGAGTCTGGCGACCACGGGGCCTGCGTGTGACTCACCTAGCACCTTCTTCCTAGGAAGCTAAGGGTCTGCCTCTCTCCACCTTCTTCCAGTCTTGGGCAGACAGCGAGAAACCACAGGACTATACTAGGACTCAGGGCCAGACCGCTAAAACCCAACATTGACGGGATCCCAAACGTCCTTCTCCCAAGGCCAGAGCCCTGCTTGTTGAACTTTACTGTCAGTGATGCATTAAGCCTGTGATTATGAAGTAAATTGAAAAAGTATGTTATTAGGAAAATTAAAAGAAAACAAAAGGCAGGATGGATGGAGGGGCTTGAGGGAGGGAGGAAGGGAGGAAAATATGGTTAGAAAGGTGGAAGTCAAATTGCATTGTCTGTACATGGTATGATCTTGCAATTCAGCGAACACCAAAGACTCCACCAAAAAGCAAATGGAATGAAGAAATCCACCAAAGCTGCGGGATACAATATCAATGAGCAAAGTTCAGGACCACTGTTCTACACCAAAAGCAAATTATCTGAATAAGAAATCAGGAAAACATTTAGTTTCCAAAAGCTACAAAAAATATACCTGGGAATAAAGTTAACCAACGAGGTGAAAAGTCTCTATAGTAAAAAATATCAATCATTTAAGAAGGAAATTGAAGAGGACACAAAGAAATGGTAAGCGTCTGGTGTGAATGGACTGAAGAACCAGTGTCATTATCACGCCCATGCTAGCAAAGTCACTTACAGTCACTGTAGCTCCTATCAGAACCCCAACGACACTCTTCACAGAACTGGAGAAATAAAACACTACTGAAATGGTTATGGAACCACAAGAGACTGCAAAGAACAAAGCAGCAGGCATTACACTGCTTGACTTTAAAACACATTAGAACACAATAGTATGACAACAGTCTGGAACAGCACAGAACAGACTGGGTGACTCCCGGAACAGAAAGCAGACCCTGGAAGCAAACTCACTTATCTACAGCCAACTAATAGTTCATAAAGGCATCAAAACATGCTTTGGATAAATAACCAACTTATTATCCAGGCTGGCCCTGAGATACAGCGGGATGCCAGCATCCCACATCACAACAGCATTCAAGACCATCCTGTCCTGGTCCCTGCTCATGCTCCTGGGAAGGCAGTGGAAGATGGACCAAGGGCTCGAGCCCCTGACATCCACATGGGAGACCTGGATGGAGTTACTGACTCCTGGCTTCAGCCTGGTCAGCCCTGGCCATTGTGGCCGTCAGGGAGCAAACCAGTGAATGGAAGGTCCCCCTCCCTTCACTCAGCCTTTCACATAAATAAACAGATAAATATTTTTTAAGTAACATTCTTTGCAAAAATGGTGCCAGTGAAACTGGTTATCCACATGCAGAGGAATGTAACTAGACTCATGTCTCTCAGCATACACAAAAATAAACTCGAAGTGAATTAAAGTCCTCAAAATAAAAACTGGAACTTCGGGATTTCTAGAGAAACAATTAGAACAAATGTTTCACAACATTGGAATGGGCAAGGGTTTTCCAGATCCATCCCCCAAAAGGATAGGCAATAAAAGCAAAAATAGATAAATGGGATCACGGCAAACTAAAGTGCTTTTTCACAACACACCAGTCAACAGAGGGAAGAGACAATCTACAGAACAGGCGAAAATATTTACAAGTTACAAAACTGACAGAGGGTTAATAACCAGAACATACAAGGAACTCAAACAACCCAGTAGGAAAACAAAACAAATAAAAACAATCCAACTTTAAAAGGGTCAGCAGACATTTATCAAAGGAATACATTTATATCATTATATCATTTATATAATTTATATATACATTTATATCATTATCAAAGGAAGACATTTGTCAGTCAACCGTCACAAGAAAGAATGCCCCACATCATACATCATCAAGGAAACACAAAGAAAACCACAGGAGACAGCCCTCGCCCCAGGTGGAACAGCTATTCCCAGAAAGCGAAAAGACAAGAAGTGGATGGGGAGCAAAGGGGACACTTGCACACTGCTGGCAGGAATGCAATCTAGTGCGTCACTGAGGAGAACAGCATGGAGGGTCCATGAAAAACTAAAAGCAGACTGCATGATGCAGGAAAATCACCGCTGGGGAAATGCGCAAGGGAAACGATACCCGTCTGCTGAAGAGACATCTGCATTCCCATATGTACTGCAGCACCATTTACAACCCAGGAATACAATCAGCCTAAGTGTTCACCGATGAATGGATTTTTTAAATGTACACATACACAATGGAATATTAGTCATCCATAAAAGAGGAAATGTCATTTGCAACAATTCAGACACACTGAAGGTCTTTATGCTAAGTGAAGTAAGCCAAGTGTCATATGATCTCACTCATGTGCAGAATGTAAAAGCAGGTGAAATCCTAGAAGTTAGAAGCAAGATACAGTTACCAGAGGCAGAGAAGGCAAGGGACGAGGGAGGGAAGTGTGTACAGTGGGGGTAGGGGTGGGGTTAAGTGTTGAATAATGGCTATTAATTACAGTGAAATAGAAGGAGGGAGTTCTGTGGTTCTTTTACACAGAAGCGTGACTACAGAAATTTTATACATGTTTATTTTTCTACTTAGAAAAGTCCTAAAGTCCTACAATATAGATTTTGATGTTTTTCCATAACTACTGTTAAATACTTGAGGAGATATATTTACCCTGATTGGACATTACACAATGTATACATGTATGCAAACTTCACATACTATCTCATTAATATGTATAATTTTCATGTGTATGTTAAAAATTATAATTGTTCATTACAATATGCCTTCTATAAAAGAACCCATCACTTTAAAATTATTTCAGTTATACTCATTTAGGACTTCTAGGCTGTAGGACGCCTGGTCACTTTGGGCAACAGCAAAAAGATCCTGAGGGCAGCACCATGGTTTTCCACTGAGATTCCGCCAGCTCGACTCTGATGCTCACCGCGCCTGGCCAGGGACATCTGGGCTGACAAGACCACCAGTGTGCACTGCTGACCCCAATACACACCTGCCCAGGTCCACTTTATCACCGTGGATGTGGTCTCAGAGAAGACACAGCCCTCACCCAAGCAAAGAGCCTAACAGGACACTGCCCGCCACCCGAGGGCTAAAGCCTCACTTCTGCCTACCAGCCCACTCTCTGGGTGGGCTACAATCCCACCTTGTACTCCGCTGTCCTGTCCTTTCTTCAATATTTTTCTGCTTTAGTTGGCTGTCTCCTCACCTTCTTTGAACCCTAAAATCCAAAAACCTAAGATATTCACATTTACTAGTGAGGCCAGTGAGCTACCAAGTATACACTAATGTCAAGTGAGTACCTGAATGTTCTTGCTAAGAAAGGAGTAACTGCTGTGAAATAAGGCCTGAACGTAATTTTTTGTCTGAATTTACCTTGAAATCATCTACTGGAAGCACAATGGTAACACAGAGTATTTAGCAGTGAGCTAGCAGCTCATGAATTCTCCGTCTGATTCATTAATCTCCAGTCTGGCATTCATCAGACGCCTCCATTTCTGCTCTATAAAATGACAAGGTTGGAACTAAATGATCTTGAAATTTCCTTCCAGCTCAAAAATCCTGATTCTATGTACATCTGGCACAATATTTTAAAGGACATAAGCCTCCTATGAAGTGAAATAAAGGGAATAATCACACGGAAATGGCACAATGATTAACTTGACTGAGAGCCGAAAGTCACCGAGCACTCCCCTCCCAGATGAGGAGTTCACCTAATGAATCAAGCCTGCAGGATCCATCAGCGCAGCTGTTTGACAGGGAACGTGCACTGTGAAATTGCTGATTTTATCTAGTGATTCTGGTTCTAAGGGTCACACACAGAAAAAAGGGAGGGGTCAGTGAGCTTCTCATTAATACACATCAGCTTTGACAATGCAGTTTCTTTTGATGTTGCAATAAGCTGTACGAGCCTTAATGAGTGCTACTGCTGAAGTAGCCATGCAAATTAGCATTTCCCCTGTGCCACAGCTTGAACTAAATTTGGTCTAAATGAAATAAAGCAATGGACCTAAGAGACATCTGATCATTTCTACCTCTCTGTCACTTCACCTTTGGTCAAGTTTGCTTTGAAATCGACACTCTGGTTGGGTCTGTCCCTGGATTGTATTCGCAAAGCTCACAATTCAACTTATGAGTTAGATTAAGATAACAGGAATGATTCTGAAACCAGAGTATCTTCAATCCATGACACTCCTAACTAGAATTTCAATTATTTTAGGTATGGCAAGAAGGGTTTGGTGACAAGGGAGGCCAGTGGTAAACTCAAGGAACTTGTTTAAAGAGAATACACCACAAGCCAATGCCTGCATAATAATCTGGTTCTCATTACGTGAAAGGATGCATGTATCAGCAGATACATTCTGATGGTACATTCACCACATTCCACAGGGCACCTGGCAACCGTCAGCATCGGCGAGTTTGGTGGACAAGTGCAACTCTGCACAGATCCAGGTGGTCGAGTGAGTGAACACGCAAAAAATAAGAGCACTCGCTAGCTGTTCTCCATGCGGGCCCAGCTGACACCCGAGGGCCAGGTGATTCACCGGGGGCGGGAGTGAATGTGCAGTACAGGAGGCTCTGCAGTGCCCCTGACCCCATCCAAGACGACAGCAGTGCCACCACTTCTAGCCACTTTGGTCTACAAAACCAAAAATGTCTCCAGACACGGCCAAATGCACTGAAACCGAGCAAAATCACCTCCAGAGGAGAACTACTTGGTGTCGTGAACATCTGCCCCAAGAGACAGCTTCTTGCTGGTTATATTTCAATTAGACAAAGAAGCATGGCTAAAGCCATGGGAGGGGTCACTAACAGTAATGACTAAGAGAGCAATCGAACGTCTGGTGCGCTTGTGCCTGCTGTGGCTTGTTCCAAGCCCTAGCATTACAAATGAGAGTGGTGGCTTTATTTATTTTGAATCTGCCTTTGTTTTGACATCATCCATAAAAAACACTACTGGGAAGAGCTTTAGAGTTTCGGCCCAGTGGCTCCCACTTGCATGTCTAACAGACTGGGGCAATATATAATGTGGAGCAGCTCACTGCACAGTCAAGGAGGCACAGCCCAGAGAGGAGGGGCACAGCGTGCCGCACCAGGACTCTCAGACCAACAGCATAAATCCTTCCTCACCACAGTTCCAGCAGGACAAACACACAGACAAGAAAGAAAGGGCGAGCTGCCAGTTCCCGAGCTGTGTGAACCTTTGGCAGTGCGAACTCTCGTGAACCTCTGTAAACCCTTGGCAAGTCACCAAACACCACCCCACGCACTCCAGAACTATGCGGAATGGGGCATGGATTTCCAAGCATACACTCACACATCAGACAGAAAACAGAGGGAGGGGCCATCAGGTTTATGGATGAAAACGTCTTTGCACTAGGGCACCCTGGAGTAAGTGCCATGTCTACACTGGCTTCACATGATGAAGTAATTCAGCTTACACAATACTGGGTCTAATGAGGGTGTGCAGAGTGAAAGATGCAAGTGTGCCAATGATACAAAGTTCCTCCTGGTAGTGAAAAGCGGATGAGGGCAGAGGTGGAAGCAATGAGGGCTTGGAAACGCCAAGCAGCCGGGGTGACTGCAGCTGCCAAGGGGCTACGGAAGCGGAAACCTGCTAACTCATATGAAATAACAAAATAATGATGGATTGCCCATTTTTAACTCCAGAGAAGAACTGAATGATTGTTGGAATTTGAAATTATTGGAACAATCATTTTCAAAGGCAGGAGACATCAACAGATATTTTTAAGTGAAATAAAATACGACAATAACAAAACAACAATTAAAAACAACATTCTCCTATTCTCCACCTGAGTTAAGGTAAATCTAATCTTATAAGGTCCCTCAGAAAAGAGATAAGCTGCAATGTTTTTTGTATCAAGCAGTAAATAGGACCAAGAAATTAAAGTGTATACACACACACACACACACACACACACACATATATATTCATATTCTCCCCATCTGGCACAGAAAGAGATGCTTGTCATTTATAAGAGCACTTAAAAAAAAAACATGAAAAAAAAGAACTTAAATTATATTTATTTTGAACCCAGTTGCCCATCACCAGATGAACAGATAAAGGAAATGTGGTATACATACACAATTGAGTATTAATCAGCAATAAAAAAGAATGAAGAGCTAGTGGCTGTGGCATAGTGGGCTAGGCCTCTGCCTGCTGCACTGGCATCCCATGAGGACGCCGGTTCATGTCCCAGCTGCTCCTCTTCTGATCCACCTCTCTGCTTATGGCCTGGCAAAGCAGTAGAGGATGGCCCAAGTGCTTAGGCTCCTGCACCTGCTTGGGAGACCCAGACGAAGTTCCTGGGTCCTGCCTTCAGATGGGCATAGCTCTGGCTGTTGCAGCCATTTGGGGAGCGAACCAGTAGATGGAAGACCTTTCTGTCTCTCCCTCTGTCTGTAACTCTATCTCTTAAATAAATACTATTCTTGAAAAAAAGAAAGAAATTCTAGCATTTGCAGTAAAAAGCAAAATGGATGCAACATGATGTGTAGTGAAATAATCTAGACCAGAAAAACAAACACTATATCTTGTCCCTTATATGTGGGAGCTAAAAATTAAATTTTTTTTGACAGGCAGCGTGGACAGTGAGAGAGAGAGACAGAGAGAAAGATCTTCCTTTGCCGTTGGTTCACCCTCCAATGGCTGCCGCAACTGGTGCACCGCGCTGATCTGATGGCAGGAGCCAGGTGCTTATCCTGGTCTCCCATGGGGTGCAGGGCCCAAGCACCTGGGCCATCCTCCACTGCACTCCCTGGCCACAGCAGAGAGCTGGCCTGGAAGAGGGGCAACTGGGACAGAATCTGGCGCCCTGACTGGGACTAGAACCCGGTGTGCCGGCGCCGCAAGGCAGAGGATTAGCCTAGTGAGCCATGACGCTGGCCCCCATGGGTCCTTAAAAGTGAAAGATCAGGGCCAAACTCTTGAGGCAGGAGAGAGGTCAGGCCATCTGGGGAGTAAACCAGTAGATGGAAGATCTCTTTCCCTTTCTATCTCTAACTATGCCTCTCAAGTAAATAAATAAATCTTTTAAAAAAATAAAAACCTGTGGAGAAGAATTCTATCTTCAGAAAAGCCAACTCCATGGCACTTGGTGAGGAGTCAGCAGGGTGACAGGAGTGTGTGCCAAGTTGTGAAGGCAAACCTGCAGGCCACGTGCCTTCGATGTGCCTGCCCCTGCTCCTTCCCATCGAAATACAACCCAAGTCTCTGGAGATAATAATCACAAAAAGACGCCTAAAAAGTAGAAAAAATAAGCTGTACTGCACAGGCATCTCAAGATATTTTCCTGGATTTTCATGTGTTACACTGGGCACCAGAGATGGCTGCCATCTGGAACTACCAAAAAGCTTGTTGTCTTCGACCAAGGAACTCGAAGGGGAAGTCTGGAGACCCTGATGAGAGCAGGAAACAGACAGGGCCCTCACGCTCTCCAGCCGTGAGCACAGCATCACCACACCAGAGCTCAGGGCGGCACCTTCGACTCCCAGGAGACACCTGTGACCCCAGGAGCTCAAGCTGAGCAGAACAAGAAGCAGACCAGGCAAGCAGTGCAGGGCTCAGCAAAGCCAGGCTCTCACCAGGACACAGCCCTGAAAAGGCCATAACCTACAGACGAATCCTAAAAAGAAATAGCATTAAGAGTCCCCTGATCTAATATTTAAACTATCCAAAATACAATGAAAACTCATTCATTATACCCAGAATCAAGAAAAGACTAGTTTGAATGAGAACAAAGTTATCAGGTAAAGGCAAGGCTGAGAGGAACCAAATGGAGAAATTATCTGACATAAATTTTAAAGCATCCATCATTAAAAAGTTTCTACAAATAAATAAACATCACTGAGACAAATGAAAACACAGAAAATAGAAACAAGACTGGAAATGGCAAAAATGTACTACAAATAAATTCAAGGGAAAGCCTAAATCACATTCAAACAACGCATGCGAATGCAGGGGACAGGGAGGAAAGAAAGAGCAAAGCGAGGGCAGAGCATGGGGAGAGCAGGTGGCCATGGGCAGCACCCAGATGGGCCAGCCCCTCGGCAGCTCACAGCAATGCGAACCTTCTTTGGCTTCAGTCTGGCTCTACAATTTAAATGATTTTTGGTGATTTACAAAGTATATTCCTTTTGGTAAGAATATTCACTCATTTAGCCACAAGTGAAAATTATTGGTGGAACATTATCTAATAAAACTTAATTAACATCTACATAGAAGGACACAGTAGACATTTTTCAGGTTTCAGGCACATACACAGTCAGCCTCCATATTCTTGTGCCCCACAGCAGCAGATTAAAACCAACATTAACTCAAAGTGTGAGTGTGTGTGTGTGTGTGTGTGTGTGTACACAACTGCTTTCTCACTGCTTTGGAAGTGGGTGTCTGGTCTACTGACTGGGATGCCTGCATCCCCTGTGGGAGTGCTCGGGGTCCACGCCCGCTGCAGCCCCAGCAGACAGAGATGATGGCTCCAGTGACTGGATTCCTGCTGCCCACACGATGGCCTGGACTCAGTTCCCAGCTCTTAGCTTTAGCGCACTATTTGGAAAATAAACCAGTGAATGGGAGCGCTCCCTCGCTCGCTTTCTCTCTCTCTCATCAAATAAACACCTAACAATTTTTACATAAAATAGCTGCATGTTTTGAACAAATACTATTGTCCTTGCTATTATTCCTGTACAATGTTCTGTAGCTACTATTTACTTGTCATTTGTATCAGGCATGATACTCGATCTAGAAACTGTGTACAGTGTTGGCAGGATGTACACGCTGTGTGCCGTGTACTGTCATTTTCTACAGGAGACATCAGCATCACGGATTGTGGGATGCATGTCAGGTGTTAGACCCAGTCTCTCCTGGATGCACAGGACAACAATATGATGGTAACATTTACATGATTTTAGGGTCAATCCTGTAAAGGAAGGCAATTTTAAAATAAGACAAAATACCCGCAATAAACAGGCACACATTTAAAAGCCTGATAATAGCAGTGTCCGCAAGGGTTTGGGGGTACAGAGACTCTCTCCCACGGCCAGTCAGGAGGTCCACTACCCATCAGGATTCCAAACTTGCAGGTCCTGTGAGCCAACTTCCCCACTGCTCAGACATCCCAGAATGATAAGCATCCACAGCACTCACACACACACACTGCAAAACTGTTACAAACAGGCATTCTGAAACAACCAGAATGTTCCTGACTGCAGTGGTGCCCACTACGACATATGTACACTCCCAGGACAATATCACTGGTGAACATCTCATCTCCACTCACGGAAACGCAGTGACAGCCGAGTATATAAAACAAAATGCTGGGAAAATGAAAAACGGGTTACAACTTACATTTTAAAATACACCAAAAGTAAGGTATTTCTTTTAAACTGTAAGTAGATAATCTCATCTTGAACAGTCGGGAATGAGACAGGCCAAGCTGAAACAGCCAGTGACTGATGCAGTGGAAATATAGGAGGGAGCCAAAAACAGCCCCTGCCTCATTGCTAACACACTTGCCCCTGTCCACTGTCACTTCCCGTGATTCCTGTGACCTGCAGTCAAGTGCAATCCAAAATACTACATGGAAGGTTCTAGAAATTAACAGTTTGGAAGTTGAAATTGCGTGGGGTTTGGAATAGTACCATGAGGGCTCCCAACCTCTCCATGACACAACTCCTTCCTTTGCCAGGTACGCACTCTCTAACTGCTCCCCACCCACGGGTCGCTTAGTCGCCGTCTTGATGGACACCGATGGAATTGCCGTCAGAGTGCTCAAGGCGCCCTCATGTCATGCCAGTGCCACCTCACAACATCTGTGTCCCTCACTTCCCCTCACAACGTCGGCACTGGACCCTCTCACACCAGTGAGACCGCGCCACACCCACATAACTTATTACAGTGGATCTCACTAGCTATTGTTCATCTCTTACTGTGCCGGATTCCTACACTGACCTTCGTCACAGAAGTGTGTACGGACAGTCACTTGGTGGGTGATTTTCCTGTGGGGCTGGCACCACAGGGGCACTTCACAAGCTGGACAGCCACACAGCACTGCAAACACTGGTGCAGCCCTGACTGCAATGCCGTCACACACACAACCAGACGGGAAAAACCCCGTACACAGGGCCCGGCAGCATCCAGTGTCGGGTGTCCCCTGGGGGCCTTGGACTGCATCCTCCACAGATGGGGGACTCCCATGTGTCATTTCATTCAAGGAGAATGTTTCTGTATATAATTTGCACATTTTTAAGAATGTGTGCAGATACAATACAGGTAACTCTTAAATGTATTACAGATACATTACAAATTCTAAAGATCTGCAATCGGGACTGCCTTGGAAGGCCGGCTCTGAGTATTCTAAAGCCCTCTGTTGTTTCCAGTTTCTGTCCTCTGAGAGCTGCAGGCAGGACCCGGACACGTCCAGCAAGTCTCCGTCACAGCCTTAGGGGTCAACAAGGCTAGGGGAGGGGAGGCCAACCAGAAAAGCAGTAACAGCTGGCCCTTGTGTAACGGCTCTGTTTGAAAGAATACAATTAAAGAAAGGCTTTGAGTCTCAAGTCGGGAGTCAGGCACAGGAAGCCCAGGAACAGACTCCAAGGGACAGAGGGGGAGTGCCTGGGCAAGGATCAGACACAGGAGCGACGCCAGAACCACGTGGAGCTGCGGTTCCCTCACGGACGCAGAGGTGCATGGCACACTACAGTTACGGCACAGCCTCCCAGCTGGTGAGCAGAGTGAGTTAACTGAAGTCTTTGCCCCTGGCTTCATCATGTACTTTCTCTGCAAACTCTTGGGCTTTTCATTCTAACCTTAACACTCTGAAATCGCTCAGACAGAGATGTTTCAAACCAATCGATTTCAACTTTTCATTTTTTTTTGCTTTTGTAAATCCCGCTCATCCCATATCTCTCTGCTCACGGAGTATCCCCCGCTGTCTCTTCAAATGCTGGCTACTCCTCATCACCTGTTACTCTTTTGGAAGTCCATTTAGATCATGTTCTGGAAATACTGGGTCCCTTTCTAGTCTTCACTCTCAAACTTCTCCGCCACTCCACTCTCCAGTTCTCTAAGTCACTCCACTGCCATGCCACATCTCCACGCTGGCATACACATCTCAGCAATATTATTTTCTGTTTTTATGGTCCAGATGATTCTTCTTTATATCCACATAGTCTTGTCACTGAACAAAATATCCTATCACACTTAAAATATTGTTTCTAATTATTTCACAATCTTGTTCTCTCATCTTCATGCACATCTGTAACACTTGTTGCGTCTCCCTCCTGCATGGTGTCACTACCCAGCAAGTATTAAGGAGTTGTGCAACAAGCTCATCGGAGACTCCCTACTGGACTTGTATTCTGTGCACGACTCTCCAGCTCCAACCATGCTTTAACTTTCTGCATTTTCAGTGAGAACGGCTAAGATGCAGGCACAGCCTCTGAGGAGCAGCCCTGAGTCTGTGGGGCGAACTCTCCTGGAAGGGGGTAAGTGGAGCTTTGCTGCCTGCCCTGAGAGGCACACAGCCAGCTCCAACTACTGGGCGGCTCTGCTGACCCTGGACATTGCTCCTGGGCCTCCTGCTCCCATCAAGGGCATCAATCTCCTTTGTGCAGCAGCACTATCCCTACAACCTGCCGCGCTGCAATTTCCCTGTCCAGTTTACATTTGCCAGTGATTGCTCGGTTTCTACCGATCACTGATCGCTCCTAACTGCTTTGGTTTAGGATGGGGGTTCTGTGCTGCCACCAGGTGCAGTATTTTGCCACCTTGTAATGAAAACCTGTCCTCTAATCTCTGTTGTGGAGGAGCTAGGGAGGCCAGTGGGGAGAAGGGGCTCAGCTTTTCACAGTGATGGCTCCTCTAAGGGCCATGTGAAAGCACTAAAACAATGCTGTGTACGCACTGAAACTTCAAACACACCTGACTTCTGACTCAGCAGTTTCCCTTGCAGGAGTCTGACCACATTGCTAATGAGGCCATTAAGCGGAGATGCTTACTCACGGACACGCATCTCAATATTCTTCGAAATAGCTAAATGATGGAAGCCATTTGGAAATTCCTCAAAACAGCTGAACACATTGTGGTCCATTTTTATTATGGAATATTATGCAGCTCCTACAATGAGAAAGAATGTGCACCGATTTTTCAGGTTTATCACTGATTTATCTACAAATGAAAATATCAAGTAGTCAATGAGAGACTCAGTATGAGAACAGACGATGGCCAGAATACATGTGCGTGTGCAAGTAAGAAATCTGACTCTCAACCTACAGCAATCAGCCCAGAAAACCAACCTGCAATATGGCTACATACAGACAGCCTGCTGTCCATAAACCAGACTGGAAGGAAGTCAGAGTGTATCTCTGGCTATCGGTGCAACAATCTCTGTAACAATCATCCCCAAATACCCTGATCAGTAATTGACAACTTCCCTCATTTTGTCCCTACTTACAAAGTAAGATCACCAGGAAAAAGCCAACTGTTCCCTGGTAACCAATCACATGAAGTGCCCTGAGTGTAGCTGGCACACCTTGAGTTTTCCCACACTGCCAGACTCCATCACAGACAACTGAAACTGCTTCTCTCCTCTGTCTGCCATTCCGTCACCGCCAGGACAAAGTGCTGCATAGCCTTTACTCATTCTAATTTGGATACTTATTGACTTCTAGATCTATAAGGCACAAAACTGTTTATCAACAGTATACATACAATTTAATTAAAACAACAGAAACAAAGGCTCACATGTGATTGTTAAGGAATAGCAGATGCATGTATTTGTTTTATAATTCAAGTGACTAAAATAAAAGACACCATAATACATTAATTGGCCTACTCATATACTGTGGGGAGCAATCCGGACTGGACTAAGTTACTCGAATTAGGACTTATTCTATGCATCTGCTCTCCCACAATATGGCGCTGGGAGAGAAGTAAACAGCTTCCGCACAGCTGCCTCCAGTTCAACCAATTAACTGTAGGACTTGCTCCTGATTGGAGAGCAGCGTACTCAGCCGAGTTGGGATTGGCGGAGGAGGACTATAAAGGAGGAGAGAGACGGCATGCACCAGGAACATCTATGGGGAACATCTAAGGGAACCCGTGCAGCCCCCAGAGAGCCGGCCGGCGGTGTGCCGCTCCCCTGCGGAAGTGGGGAATGCGGCCAGGGGGAACTGCCCTTCCACGGAGGTGGAAGGGATAGTAGCCAACCCGGGAAGAACCAGCAGCAAACCCGGGGAGGGCCGAGCAGACAAAAGAACAGCGCAGGGTTCAGTGTTGCTCCTCCACGAAGAGGGGGAGCGACAATATACAGCTTATTTCACGTGGTAATTCTAGTTATCTGACTTAACATGATGGAGATTTATGAAGGTACTCCATATACTGAATACTGGGTGCAACTATTTTAAGAGTAAACTAACAATTTCTCTCTTACGTGAATTAGAGTTCAAATCTAAGTCCCTAAAATGACTAGAAAATATTTTTGAACCACAAATATTTAGCTTAGTGAGAAAAACATTTTAAAATTATTTCCTGCTGTGCTTTTCAATATCTACCCCATGTTTTATCATCCTTTAGGCCTGGACACACTGTAAATTGTACTCCAGTTTTATCTCAAGTATTGTCATGGCCAAGAGAACAAAGAATTTTTCTTATCAGCCCCCTCCTGCTGGACTTGCTAATGCACTTGATTCCCAGCTATTAACCCCGCAGACCTACATGCAGCTCACCATCACTCAGAGCTTCTTAATGCCTACAGCGTTAGCTGTGCACAGACGTTCTTACAAGAAGTGTTGCTTCTTTTGTACTGAACAATGTTTGCCAATATTCCCGTGACTTGTGGCCAAAGGATGACAAAAAGATGATCCTGTCAAACCAGTGGAACTCTCGACATTCCTGGGAAGCACACCCTCTACGTAGGGAGAGGGAAACCACCCGAGATGTGGATTTTGACAGCGCTTGTAGACTTTTGTTAGGAGCGGGGAAAAGAGTACCTATCTTTTAGTCAACCATTAAGTTTTTTTTATTTATTTTTTTTATCTTTTATTTAATGAATATAAATTTCCAAAGTACGACTCATGGGTTACAATGGCTTCCCCCCCCATACCGTCCCTCCCACCCACAACCCTCCCCTTTCCCACTCCCTCTCCCCTTCCATTCACATCAAGATTCATTTTCGATTATCTTAATATACAGAAGATCAGCTTAGTATACCTTAAGTAAGGATTTCAACAGTTTGCTCCCACACAGAAACATAAAGTGAAAAATAATAGATGATTTTTTTTTAATGATGATGAAATCAGATCAGACCTATTGTCATGTTTAATCCCAGTGAGAGTCAAGTTGGGAATTGATAATTTCTTTTTTTTTTTTTTTACAGAAGATCAGTTTAGTGTACATTAAGTAAAGATTTCAATCGTTTGCACCCCCATAGAAACACAAAGTGAAATATACTGTTTGAGTACTCGTTATAGCATTAAGCCTCAATGTACAGCACATTAAGGACAGAGATCCTACATGAGGAGTAAGTGCACAGTGACTCCTGTTGTTGACTTTACAAATTGACACTCCTGTTTATGGCATCAGTAATCTCCCTATGCACCAGTCATGAGTTTCCAAGGCTATGGAAGCCCCTTGAGTTCTCCGACTCTTATCTTGTTTAGACAAGGCCATAGTCAAAGTGGAGGTTCTCTCCTCCCTTCAGAGAAAGGCACCTCCCTCTTTGAAGACCTGTTCTTTCCACTGGGATCTCACTCACAGAGATCTTTTTGCCAGAGTGTCTTGGCTTTCCATGCCTGAAATACTCTCATGAGCTTTTCAGCCAGATCCGAGTGCCTTTAGGGCTGATTCTGAGGCCAGAGTGCTATTTAGGACATCCGCCATTCTATGAGTCTGCTGAGTATCTCACTTCCCATGTTGGATCACTCTCCCCTTTATTTATTCTATCGGTTAGTGTTAGCAGATACTAGACTTGTTTATGTGCTCCCTTTGACTCTTAGTCCTTTCATTATGATCAATTGTGAACTGAAATTGATCACATGGAATAGTGAAATGGCATTGGCACATGCCACCTTGATGGGATTGAATTGGAATCCCCTGGTATGTTTCCAACTCTACCAATTGGGGCAAGTCAGCCCGAGCATGCCCCAAATTATACATCTCTTCCCTCTCTTATTCCCACTCTTATGTTTAACAGGGATCACATTTCAGTTAATTTTCAACACTTAAGAATAACTGTGTGATAATTACAGAATTAAACCAGTCATATTAAGTAGAACAGACAAAAAAAAAATACTATGAGGGATAATGTATTAAGTTGTCCATTAGCAGTCAGGGCTATGCTGATCAAGTCACCATTTCTCATAGTGTCCATTTCACTTCAGGAGGTTTCCTTTTTGGTGTTCAGTCAGTTGTCACCGATCAGGGAGAACATATGGTATTTGTACCTTTGGGACTGGCTTATTTCACTCAGCATGATGTGTTCCAGATTCCTCCATTTTGTTGCAAATGACTGGATTTCGTTGTTTCTTACTGTGGTATAGTATTCTAAAGAATACATATCCCATAATTTCTTTATCCAGTCTACCATTGATGGGCATTTAGGTTGGTTCCAGGTCTTGGCTATTGTGAATTGTGCTGCAATAAACATTAGGGTGCAGACCGCTTTTTTGTTTATATTTATTTATTTTTTTTACAGGCAGCGTGGACAGTGAGAGAGAGAGAGAGAGAGAGAAAGGTCTTCCTTTGCCGTTGGTTCACCCTCCAATGGCCGCCGCGGCTGGCGCACCGCGCTGATCCGAAGGCAGGAGCCAGGTGCTTCTCCTGGTCTCCCATGGGGTGCAGGGCCCAAGTACTTGGGCCATCCTCCACTGCACTCCCTGGCCACAGCAGAGAGCTAGCCTGGAAGAGGGGCAACCGGGACAGAATCCGGCGCCCCGACTGGGACTAGAACCCGGTGTGCCAGTGCCGCAAGGCGGAGGATTAGCCTAGTGAGCTGTGGCGCCAGCCCAACCATTAAGTCTTAAACCACTTGGAAAAATTTTTCAATAGCTGCTGATAAATGAAAAATGTATAACTGCAACAGAATAACCACAATCGATGAAGGTAGCCATCAATTCTCAGTGAACTATTTAAGGAAATTCTTAAGTTCAATACCTTCCACAAACTCTTTACTGTCTTCACATTAAGAATTATAATTTTTATCAACAAGATGAAAGGAGTTCTATAGGTTCTGTTAACTACCATATCTTAAAGACTTTCTTAAGGCGTTCTGGTCATTTTAGGTTAACAAGCTCGGAATTCATAAGCTCCCTTCCATGTGCTCAATATTCCATCAAGTGTTCTATTTTCTCTCTGGAGATAAAAGATTCTATCTTTTCCTGTAAAATACAGGAAATCTGCTTGGTCACAGAATTCTGATACTTATTTATTTCTTTGTCAAAACATGATGAAGAAATCTACACAAAACCGTAACTCATCATAACTACTCTGCTGGGTCCCAACACTGCCCGCCTGTCTGCCTTCCCCCACGCCTTCCTTCCTTCTCTGCATCTCTCTGGAACATACTGGAATGACTGACAGTTTTGAAGATGGCACGGACAGAAGAAGTATTTGTCTGAAACGAAGGTGTTGCATATTCTGAGTTTATTTTGTGTTTGATTCCATTTCAATTTGTTCCACACATTCCTATGTCATTTATTGCTATGGCAACTGGATACTCATCTAAAATAACATCTGAATGTGAATGGGGAAAATAAAATATTTAACTGAATATAAACTCATAATGTGATGGGGAATTTTTTACTGATGAATGGTATTTAAAAAAGCATCCATACCTGCTGTAATAAAACCAACACACTAACATCGCTGATGGCATGGGCTATTAAGTTCCTCTGTTCCCGTAACCATTGCTGTAGACTTATAAACTTAAATATATGTATATATATGTATATTATATATATGTATATTATATATATATATGTCGCATGACTTCTTACTTTAAAAGGGAGAATGAATATGTAGCCTATGATAAATTTGGAAAATATGAATGTATAATGAAGAAAACGTGCCAATAAGAGCTAACAGCTAAGTAAGAGACTTCCCAGCCATTTGGGATTGCTTCTTTCATAACCCAAAGACTAGCTACTGAAGAGAACTCAGTAATTAATCGTAAATGCCTCATTTGAATCCTGCCTGATCAATAAAATCATGACGAATATCCTAACGTGTCTATTACAGGTGTTAAATATTACCCAAAAGGAATGCTATGGTTTGTAGAGGTTGAGGTAAGAAATTGGTAAATTTTTCTGTACCACAGAAAACTGTCCCCGTCTTTACAGACGATGAGCAACCACGTGCTCTACAGACAGACATACAGCGGCAGGGCACGCTGCGGCAGGGAACTGGGAAATGCACCTTTTAAAAAATTGCTAGCCTACGTCATCACATTCACGTTCTACATTTCACTGATTTTTAGGATATTATTTAACGTATGTGCTAAATATTGCTATCTCTTATTTAACATATGAATTAAATGTTGCTATCTGGAGAAATCAGAAAGAAACTCCTTTAAAACTAATTTATTTGAGGCACAACTGACACGACCAAGCATGTCAAAGTGAAGGCTCTGCACACAGCCCCAGTGTTGGGCAGCTGCCTCCACTGAGCTCCCCATGACCCTTCCCGTGTCAGAGCTCCCTCCCCCGCTGCTCTCAGGTAGTTCTCTCCACGCCCGTCTCCCAGCAGACCTTGCAGGCACTCAGGGCGCTCTGCGTCTATCCACGTAGTTTGTGTGCTCCACATAAGTGCAATCGTACCATACAGGACTTCAGAATCTGGTTTCCTTCCCACAGCACGATGCTTTGAAGGTCATCTGTGAATGGCACTTGGTCTGTCTCTTTTGTATGATAGCCTGACTGCAGATGTATGGGCCAAAATCATTTCAGAATACAGAATTTCAGTATTCTGGAGTATCTGCATGTATATGATTAAATATCCTCAGAAGGGGTCAGGACCCAAGTCTAAACATGAAATTAATTTATGTTTCATACATATTTCAAAAACACAGCCCGAAGGGAACACTATCTTCAGTGCACCTCCAGTTTGACTGTAACTCAAACAAGGTTGGGTGAGATTTTCTATTTGTGTTGTCAATGTCAGTGCTCAAGAAGTTTCAGACTTTGAGCCGCTCAGACACTGGACTAGGGCTACTCAACCAGCATGGCAGAAAGGGCTGCTTCTGGCAAGTGTGCGTGTATTTCTTTGAGCACCCGTTTTCCAACCTTCTGGGTATACAACTAGTAAGGAGACTCTAAGGCCATATGATAATACTGTCTAACTTTCTGAGAAATGCCAAATGTGGTTAACAGTGGCTGGGGCTTCCTACATTGCCACAAGCAGTGCACAGGGTCCCAGTTTGTCCACACCCTTGCCAACACTTGTATTGTCTGACTTCATTACTATCACATCATTGTTATTATAGCTGTCCCAGCAGGCGAGAGGTGGTACCTCCTGTTTGGATTTGCATATTCATAAGGA